TCTGAAACACTTGGGTCGCTAGCTTCTTCACATGGGTGCTGAGGGCATCTATCTTCGTGGTGAAGGTGGTGTAGACAGAATCGATCTTTCCATTGAAGTTTACCTCGAGCTTCTGCTGACTCTCAAGTATCTTGTCTACCAACTCCTCCAGTTTAGTATCTTAGGTGGGTGGGTGTGGATTTGAGTAGAAAGCACTTCTATAGCTTTTGTTGTTGTTAGGGTTGCTGCTGCTGAAGTTGTTGGGCTTCTGGGAACTCTGGTAGAAGTTCCTTCTCTGGCTTGTGAACTTTTTGTATCCTCCTTGGTTACCAGATCTCTGAAAACCAGCTCCACTAATCCAGTTGACATCTTCTTTAACAATGTCTGAATCTTCCACTGAACAGATCTGATTGTTTAGGAGCTTCTAAATGTTGTCTAGCTGTGCTTGAACTTCATTGATGTACTCCCTCCCAATGGATGATGTAGTCTGAGTCACAGAGTTCTTTGTGCTGTTGCTGGAAGCCAAGTTATCAATTAGCTTGATAGCATTCTGCGGATTCCTGGTCGAGTAATTTGAGATCTGGACGGTTTGGTGTCTTTGGGAAGAAAAAGATTTTTTTTCGATTTTCCGTTTGTTTTATTTTATATTTTTTTAATAATTTAATTTTAAGTTGTATTTTTTGGATTTTATTTTAAATAAATAATTTAATATTTTTATTTTGTTTTATAAATTGGTTTGATTCGGTATTTTACCGGTAGTAGCACGCCGTTCTCGAGAGAGGAGGAGACGGGTGTTACACCACTTTTGGAGGAAACGACGACCCAACGGAGCACATGACAGCGTTTAACATAGCGATGCATCGAGGTAACTTCACTGAAAAAGAACAAGAGGCCAGATTTTGCCAACGTTTTGTCGAAAGCCTCTGCTCTAAACTGGTTTACTCACCTTCCTGAGAATTCCATCGACAGTTTCCACGATTGTCAACAGCATTCATTAAGCATTACATTATGTTCACAACTAAAAAGGCGACCGCCTCCGATTTGTGGAAACTGTCCCAGCCACAGAGTCAACCTCTGTGTGAATTCATGGAAAATTCAAAGCCATCGTATCGAAGGTCAAAGTGCCCGACGAAATCGCAGTAGACGCACTGAGGAACGTTCTCTACGAATCTGAGACGACCTCTACCGCAACCCAACAATTTTGCTCCAGGACGCCATTGCTCGCTCCAATTACTTCATCAAAATTGAGAAAGATACCAAAGTGATCATCGGCAAACAAAATCCCCCCGCGAAACCCGCAACGGCTAAAAGCGATCACTCGTCCAAGCGCGATCACTCGTTAAAACGCGCAGACTCTCAGCCAGAACCGTGACAACACTCGACGAGCGAGAGACCGCAACAAAAGATGAGTTCCGTCTTCACGATAGACATGGACGGGGTCACCGTTCACAGCAAAGGGTGGAACTCCTACCACCAAAAGGAGGACGACGATCAGTCCGGGCCCCCATCGTCACCCGAACGGGATAAAACCGAAGAGAAAGGACCATACTGTTCCTATCACAAGTCCAAAGCACACGAGTCTAAGGATTGCATACAGCTAACGGAGATCATGTTCTCCAGGTACGAAAATGGCGAGATCTAGATCGATCCAGTGAAACCGTGACCAGAGGGGAACAGTAGCTGGAGCAGGAACAAGGAAAAGAGGTCCCAGAAGCCTGCGAGCAAACCGAAGCAGAACGAGTCTCCACAGAAGGATGACAAATTGGGAGAACACGAACGAGACGACGCTCCTCCCAACGAGGAACAACCTAAAACTCGGAAGAGAATACAAGTAATCCTTCCTGGCCCGAGTCATCGTCGGACGATGTCTCAGACCATGGAGACATTCGAACACTCCTCACCTAACGGAGGCTGGACAATGACCCAGCCAGCTCGACCGACCTTCAAGACACGATCAACTGATCCAAATCTTGAAACATGACTCCATCAAAATCTAGGTCTTGCCCTAAACACAACACACTGGTCTCTAACATCTCAGGGCATGAATTGAGATCCTAAAGGCATGTCTCTTCGTTCAAATCTAAACGCTCACCGAATTTCGAAAAAATTTGGAACGGGCAAACGAACAGGGCGATCTAAAAAGAGAGTTAGACTATGAGACAACAACTCGTATTCTTCCCTCAACATTCATATGAATAAAAACACGCTCTTAAAAACGCAAACTCAGATGATTCCATTAATAAAGCCACACACGGCCTGTTCAAAAACTATAACGGCCACACTCGGCCAGAGCAAACAGCGTACTAAGCTAGTCTCAAGACCGACAAATGTCCAATACACATAACTAGACTGTAAAGGTCTCACTAGAAAACAGGTCATACGAACCTTAACTCCACGACGAACTATGAAAGGCTTGATTCCTTCAATAGGGTACGTAGGCAGCCTTCACAAGGCGCAGCCCTAATCTTAAAAAAGTTTTACTATTCATTTTTGGACTTTTGGCCATTAAAGTTCCGCCTAATTCTACCAAACTTCCGAACAAGTTCAAACCGCTCGCAAGATATCTACAATTCTTACGACTTGGGGGGCTAACTGTTGGGGTCAAAATCGGTACGACAGACCAGTGACCAAAAGTTTCTGCAAAAATAAAAATATGTTTTATAAAACAAGAGAATTTGTTTTATAAAATTCTAAGGACTTTCCGAACAAAGGCAATCCGCGCGAAACTTAGAAATTGTCATCTCGGAAAAACGAACGAAACAATCTCCGATTACACGATTGCCCAAGTTAAGCGAAAAACCGCATCCGCCACACTACGACCAGGTTCGACCAAACTAGTTTGATGTGCGACAAGCCGAACCAGCCGGTTCAGCTCGCCGCACGGCGAACTGGTTCGTCCCGGACCAGCTCGCCGTACGGTGAGCTGAACCAGCTGGTTTAGCTTGCCGCACGGCGAGCTGATCACCTCACGGCGAGCTGAACCAACACGGTTTGGCTCACCGTACGTTGAGCTGACCGTCAAGAGCCTCACTCCCCCGCATCCTCAACGCAAGGCATACGTACTTTGATTCGATTGTTCTCTGAACCATGGTCGAAATGTCTCTCGTTTCATCTCGATCCGTTCTACCATTCGAGTTTTTTGATAAAAATCGTAAAAGTCTTCTTTTCTCGTAAGAATTCGGAAAGATCGTATGAAACGGTAACGATTAGACGGAACATCGTACATTGTCAAAGTATACGGTTAACTCGAGAAGTCTTATAAAAACGGCATCGTATCACGAAACGATCTCGTCTAAAATCGTAAAACGTGTTTTATCGCAAAACGGCTGGTAAAGTCCTAACACACGATAAAAACCTATCCACAGTTTTAGACGAAGTCCAGCCCAAAGATACAATGACGGTTTGACTATTTACTCACAGAAAGAAGATAAATGTCAAGTTTGAAGATAAATAGAAAAGTTCTAAAGAAAAATGGAAAGATCGAGAAAAATGGAAGATTTCTGATAAATTCGAATCTGGGTGAAAAAGGAAGAACTAAACCGTCTAGGGAGGGAGTATATAAGCAGAAGGCCAAGGACAGAAGAAGGAACAAGATTTTCAGAGCTCTCACCACCAAATTTAGCATTAGGAAACTTTCCATTTTTTGTTATCGAACTGCGTAAATGGTTTTGATGTCAATAGTGAGATCCTCTTCAAACTCAAAACCACCATCAAAATCGTCAAGAGGAAGCCCATTGCCCACGGAAAACACTGGACCCTCCTCACTCATCACAAACAAGGACGAAGAAGGGAGAAAACAAACCTTAGATCGGAAAATACCGAGCGTGAAATCAACAATCAAGCGCAATTATCCTTCTTGGAGAACCCAGTCAATCATAGAAATCACGGGAACGCGTAGATCTGAAGATTTTATCGGATTTTGGGAAGGCGTAGAGAGATCAGTTGGGTAGAGACGCGACGGTGGTGGTTGCCTTCTTATTTGGCTTTCTCCGAATTGGAAAAGGTAAAAGAAGACTTCTTCATACTTAAAGAAGAAACGGTCCAGCAAATCTTTTCTTTTCTTCTTTTTTTTATTTGTTTACATTTTGTTATTTATTTTATTTTATTGATGCATATTGTTTTTTACATAGCTACTATTATATGCGCCATCATCCTTTTTCTTTTTGAAGTTTTTTTTTTCTTAACACAATGTTTACTGTAAAAGCAAATTAATGACAAAATTAAACAAAAAAGTATTCGAAGTTTAACGTTAACAACGAAAAAGGTTGCAAAAAAAAAATACCTAAAGCTTGATTTTTTTCGTATTAAATAATTTTCATTTTTTATATAGAATAATATATATTTTTCTAATTTATTCGTATTAAATAATTTTTCGATATAACATTTTAAAATAGAATAATTTATATTTTATATTGAATAGTTTTATTTTATCTGACACATATCTAAGGCTTATATTGTTCAATATAACAGATTTAAATACAATAATTATATTTTATATTAAATTATTGTTCTTAGCACAAATTTAGTTTGCTTAAGTCTCGCAATTAGTAGGGATGGCACTGCCTATTGATAGAAACGTTTCCTCGCCGTCCCCCAACATTCCCTTCTTGGAAACATTTATGATAATATTATCACATCATATCATAGAAACACCACTTCAGGGTGGACTAATATCAAATAAAAGTATGAAAATGATAACTAATACTCTTTCTGTATTCTTCTAATTACGCTTAAATGAAGATTAATAAGTCTCAAGATACCGTTATAACTCATAATGAATCAATCTAAAATGTTAATTTTCGTAAAACTTTAAACTGTCTCTTAATTAATGTTCCTAGACTAAAACGTGTAACCATATAAGTTAATTAAGAAACATAAGTAATATTCATATAACATTTACAGAACTAAATATAAAGGATCGTCAACTCTGCGTTACAATACATTAGTACTTCTGTATATATTACTCATTCAACATTTACAAACAACATCATGTTAGCTCAAACACTCGCTTATATAAAAAAATGGATATTCCAAAACGATTGCTATCACTTTTCATATTGATTATCTTTATAACTACAGATATATCACATGCCAAAACGGTAAAAATCTTCAACGATCTTGGTTATACACTTCAGTTTCACTGTAAATCGAAGGACATTGATTTAGGTCACCAGAGTTTGATACCCGGTGGGATGTGGTCATTTCATTTTGAGCGTAATTTCTTCGGAAGGTCATTGTTTTTCTGTTCCTTTGATTTGCCATATGGAAGACGTTGGTTCGACATATATGAAGAGCCCCGGGATACTTCTATCGTGCCAACTGGGGTGAAGGATGGTGAGTGGAGGATAACACCAAGTGGACCTTGTATGTATGACGAGTATCGTAAGCAGCTTAAGGAATGTTTACCTTGGAACAATAATTAGTTCTTGTATTGAAAAATACAACCAAGATGAAAGTAATGTTTATGTGTTTTCTATGCTTACAAGCCTCGAATATAATATAAATAAAACATAGTTATATTTATGTTATCTTAATAGCTCACAAGTTGATTATTGTTGATATGTTTTAAATCACTCGGTACAAAGAGATAGCCAGGATCTCACTAGTGTATGTATACCATTGTGTCTATACCACATGTCGTATATTATGACGTCCCAGCAGATTCTGTAGTAACCATGCTCGCCTCATCTATCCCAATGAGTCCACTAAGATCCAAGAATAAATTCTCTTTAATATGGGAAACTGTTCATTTACATGTAAAAATGATAAGGTGTCGACTTTTCTACAAAAATAGCTAAAATAAATATTTTAAAAGAAATTGTAATCCCTTAAAAAAAATTCACATGTTAAAATAATTACATTTTAATCTTTCTCAAAATAAAAATATATTCAAATAAGTTTTCTAAGATTTCAAAAAAATAAAAATAAAAATCAAGTAATAAATTTTAAAGTTATAATATTCAAAAATAATAATAATTCAAACCTTAAGAATTTTTTTTAAAATTCAAATAATAATTTATTATAAGTTCAAAAAAAATTCTAACTTTAATTTGCAAAAAAAAAAAAAAAAAATTCTTAAGGTTTGAATTTTTCCTTTTTGAATATTATAAGATTAACACTTTTACTTGAATTTTTAAAAATATTTTTTTTTTAAAAAAATAAGACAACTTATAAAAGCTATTTGAATTTTTTTATTTTTAATAATATTAAATTTTAATTATTTGAATATGTAATTTCTTTTTTAAATATTTATTTATTTGAATTTCTTAATAACTTTATGGTTCTTTTTAATTATTTTTAATTAGAAAACCAACATCTCATCACTTTTTACTCTTATATGAACTTGTAAATTGAAGATTTGAATGAAATTACTGGAAGTCGCAGAAAAGAGAGTGTAGACTCTTTTATCCCTTTTAACAACATGATAAGAAATAATGGTGTATTAGAGGGGAAACAAAAAGTCATGGCAAGGAAAAAGAGGAAAAGTGATGATACGGTGTCGTCTAGACCACCCTCTAGCAAACAAAGACTGGCAGACACTCTTTCAATGTTCTTACACATAATACATATGTATGGTAGGGTCTGACCATCGTCCAGTGGTGGCTTACTGATATCACTCAAATTACCTTAAGGAGTTAATTACTCTCTCAAATAAGAGGTTCAATTGTAGCATTTAGGGATCGAATCCACAAGGAGCTAGAGTACGCAATAGATCTAATCAGGATGATTAAGCTAGGTGGAAGATGTTTAAATTAAAAGACAGTGTTTGAACAAGGTAGTTGTTTGATTGGTTTGAAGTGGTTTGTAACGATATTAGGAAATAGCTAGACTTAGGGTTTCTATTTAGGTGATTAGGATTATAGAGATATAGGTGCTAAATTGGAGGATATATTAGATTTCAACTGGCGTACAAGTCGATTGGCGTGTCGCGTTCTAGACTCGTCTATTGACTAGATCTATTGTCTCAGCTGTCGCATGTTGACCAATAGAAAGTGTTGATCGATGAATCTACATGAGTATCGATCGATACACCTTTCGCAAGCGTCAATCAACTATTCTATATGAATATCAGTCGATCGCACTTCTAGATAAACTTTATGTGCGGGTTGATTAACTCCTCACTAGGTTCCTACATCAGCTGTCGCGTTTTTTCTAGCAATCCTAGTTCAATTAAGACCAGTTCTGAAGATAGACTAAGCGGTCGCATTGTAACTAATTATTCTAACTTCAGAGTTCTAGTTAGCTACTCTAGAACACAAGCATTAAGATCAATTTTATTGATGAATACCACAACTTAACAATTCTATATTTTGGGCTAATCCCTCATATCCTATTTGAACCCTAAATCTAACAAGTATAACAACTAAGACATAGTTAACCAATTCATAATAACAAATAAGTAAGAAAATTGCATAGATAGGATAGATGTAACAATGGAGTTCCAGTCACAAACTTGTAGAAGTCTTGGATCTTCTTTCCAACTCTCTCTAACATTTTAGGTAAGAAAACGACAATATGAAAAATCACACTTTTCCGGCAACACTTGGCAAAGCTATTAAATCTTAGGTTAAAACTTGTCAGGATAATATTGTAATTTAGTGAAGACTTAGGCTTCAAACCGTTTGGACCAAATCATGTCTCTAGATGTTACACCCATCGATCAATGTCATAAGGTGTGCATCGATCGATTATGATCTCTAAATTTTGACCTTTCGGTCTGATCGATGGTCATCTCGGGTGAAACTTCTCTTCTATCTAAAAAGACTCCAAAATCATCACTTTCTTCGAAATCACTCCTGAACCTATAAATATATTGTATAGACTCTAAAACATAATAATTATATCATAAAAACTTATATACCATGGATGAAAGTGGGTAAAATCCATGGCATATCAACTCTCCCAGACTTACCCTTTTGCTTGTCCTCAAGCAAAACAAACAGGTGGTCTCTCTGAAAGATGTTTCAAAACGGCGGGGACTCATAAAATTTAAAGCTTAAAATCATCACATCTACAATATTACAAACCACATCTAAGAGATGTAAATTCCAGAAGCATATTCTAGTCTACCAACCAAATTCATCTATCCATTAACTTAGCATATACTAGTCTGACTCACCCCTCTACTGACCTCATTTCTTACATAATAAAAGTGCAGGCTTTATCTTTGGAATATCAATCAAAGTACACATGGATTCTTACCTCTGCAAGTATCTGAACGCACATGTAGTCTTCTATGATTCCTTTCTTCTCCCTTTTTCTCTCTTCGCTGAATCTCTTTTTTTTTTTATAACTCAATGCCAATGAACATAGACATGTGCTAATGCCTTCCATTTTATTCATCTATTGGTTTTTCTATCTTTTTTCTATCGAATAATGGGGTCACAGGTAATTTACCTATTCCTCGCTTCCAACAATGTGTGATAATTCCATTAGAGTTGAATATTGGGGTCGGAGGATACACGCCTACCCTTCCAAACCGCAGGAAATCATTTCAATCTTTTCTTTTATAGATGCTGAAGAGAGAAAGAGAGAGAGAGAGAGAGAGAGAGAGAGAGAGAGAGAGAGAGAGAGA